TAAGTGGATCGACTACATTGTCATCCGTTCCAACTCTGCAAATTCTGATTTCACCTTCTGATTTCCATTCTCGAATCATGTGAAACCGTGTTTGACATGTTTGACTTTCTGATGTTCCCTTGGCTCTCTAGCCTAAGCAATAGCTCTATTGTTGTCACAATAGAGGGCTATTGGACCCTTTATGGAGGGTAAAACATCAAGTTCACCAATGAACTTACGAATCCAAACAGCATCCTTAGCCGCTTCAGCAGCTGCTAAGTACTCGGCTTCAGTTGTAGAATCTGCAGTTGTACTCTGCTTGGCACTCTTCCAACTGAACGCTCCTCCATTTAGACAGAACACATATCCAGATTGCGATTTGAAATCGTCTCTGTCTTTCTGGAAGCTCGCGTCGGTATAACCTTCAACAACTAATTCCTCTGAACCACCATACACCAGGAATTTATCCTTGTTCCTTTTCAAGTACTTTAGGATATTCTTGGCTGCAGTCCAATGGGCCTCTCCTGGATCTGATTGGTAACGGCTCGTATCACTCAAGGCATACGATACATCTGGCCTAGTACATATCATGACATACATGATCGATCCAATAAGCGAAGCATATGGAATCAGATTCATTCTTTCTCGCTCATCAGGTGTCTGTGGACACTGCTTCTTGCTCAGGGTTATGCCATGTGACATTGGCAGGTGACCTCTCTTGGCCTCCTCCATGATAAATCGAGCAAGTACCTTATCAATTTAAGTACTTTGACTCAATCAATTCATCCTTTTTGATCTATCCCTATAGATCTTGATTTCTAGTATGTACTGAGCCTCTCCTAAGTCTTTCATTGAGAAGCATTTTCCAAGCCAGGCCTTTACAGACTCTAACAACGAAATGCTGTTTCCAATGAGCAATATGTCATCGACATATAAGACTAAGAAGGCAATGTCACTCCCACTAACCTTCTTGTAAACACAAGATTCATCTGGATTCTTGATAAAACCAAAATTACCGATGGCTTCATCGAATCGCAGATTCCAACTTCTGCTAGCTTGCTTTAGTCCATAAATGGACTTTTTAAGCTTACAAACCTTCCCAACATTGTTTTGGTCGACAAAACCTTCAGGCTGTGTCATGTACACAGTTTCTTCCAAAATACCATTTAAGAAAGCGGTTTTGACATCCATGTGCCATATTTCATAATTATAATTTGCAGCAATCTAGAGGAGGATCCGAACGGATTTAAGCATTGCGACTGGTGAAAAGGTTTCATCGTAATCAATACCATGAACTTGTCTATAACCTTTTGCCACCAATCTAGCTTTGTAAATGAATACATTTCCATCTTTGTCGCTTTTCATCTTGAAAATCCACTTACATCCGATAGGTGTATAACCTTCGGTTAAGTCAACCAAGTCCCAGACTTGATTTTCAAACATGGAATCTGTTTCAGATCTCATGGCCTCATGCCATTTAGCAGAGTCGGTGCTTGCCATCTCTTGCTTGTAGGTTGCCGGTTCATCTCCATCCATAATCAGGATGTCCTCTGAGATCTTAGTTAATACTAAACAAAGATATCTATCATGTTGAGATATCGGCCTCTGAGACCTACGTAGGGTAATGGATTGAGCATTTGCATTGTCGGTTTGACTTTGCACATTTTGATCATTTTGACCTGTGTCAATAGATGTTGTTTGAGCACTTTGACTGTCATTTTGATTTTGTTGTTCATCCTCACAAACTTCGTCGAGTTCGATTTCCTCCTACTTGTCATTTTGGAAAGGTGTTCCTTCTCCAAAAAGACACAATCGCGAGCAACAAACACTTTATTCTCCTAGTTGTTGTAGAAGTAATACCCTTTGGTTTCTTTTGGGTAGCCCACAAAGTAAACCTTGTCAGATTTGGGATGAAGTTTGTCAGAAATCGATTTCTTGACATATGCTTCGCATCCCCATATCTGTAGAAAAGACAACCTAGGAGGTTTCTTTGTTAATAATTCATATGGAGTCTTTTCTATATCTTTTGATGGTGCACGGTTCAGTGTTAGCGCTGCAGTTAGAAGTGCGTGTCCCTAGAAAGAGATAGGAAGATCACTAAGACCCATTGTTGATCGTACCATGTCTAACAAGGTCCGATTTCTCCTTTCGGATACTCCGTTCCATTGTGGAGTTCCTAGAGGTGTCAATTTTAAAAGTATACCCTTTTCTTTCAGATGATCATCGAATTCTTTGCTCAAGTATTCACCACCCCGATCCGATCGAAGGGCTTTGATTTTCTTGCCAAGATGATTTTCAACTTCACTCTGAAATTCTTTGAAATTTTCAAACGATCCAGATTAATGCGACATTAGGTAGACATAACCATATCTACTATAGTCATTTGTGAAGGTGATAAAATATCGGTGTCCATTTCTTGTGGTTGAGCTCATTGGTCCACACACATCAGTGTGTATTAGACCTAATAAGTCTCTTGCCCTTTCTCCTAGCTTGGAGAATGGCTGCTTAATCATCTTGCCTAATAAACATCCCTCGTAGTTTTCAAACGATTCTAAATCGAAAGAGTCAAGAACACCTTCTTGTAGAAGTCTCTTGATGCGTTTGATGTTAATGTGGCCAAGACAACAATGCCACAAGTAAGTTTGGTTTGACTCCATGGTCTTAGCTCTTTTGTTCACATTATAAACTTGTTTGTCCAGATCAAGCACATAAATACCATTTTCAGAATGTATAATACCATATAAAACATTATCGAGATAAAACGAACATTCATTGTCTTTTACTCGAAATTCAAAACCCTTGGCGTCCAACGCTAAAATTGAAATGATGTTTTTGGTAATGTTAGGAACATAATAGACATTATCTAGTTCCAAAACAAGCCCGGTGGGCAAAGACAAACTGAGAGTTCCTACAGATACGACACTAATTCTGGCTCAATTGCCGACCCGGAGTTCAACCTCTCCCTTCTCTAGCCTTCTAGCGTTCCTTAGTCCATAAGAATTGGAACAAAGGTGTGAGCCACATCCGGTATCTAATACCCATGATGCTAAGCTAGTGAAGTTAAAGTCTATAACGAATATACCTGATTGAGAAGCAACGGTTCCGTTCTTCTTATCTTCCTTGAACTTGAGGCAATCTCTCTTCCAATGTCCCTTCTTCTTACAGTAGAAGCATTTGAAATCAGATTTAGAAGATGCTACCTTCTTCTCTTTGTTATCCTTGGTAGCTTTAGGCTTAGGCGGAAAGGTTTTCCTCTTGCCTTTCCCCTTAAAGCCTTTCTTCTTTTTGCCTGAGAATTTGAAGGGCTTGCCCTTTTAATCATGAGAATATCATGCTTCCCCTCATCCTTGAGCGTTTGCTCTGCTTGCTTCAACATACCATGAATATCGGTGAGGGTTTTCTCCATGCTGTGCATGTTATAGTTCATCTTGAACTGATCATAGCCTTTGTGCAGCGAGTGGAGAATGATGTCAATACCCCACATTAATCCTTCCCATGTTCTCAAACAACCCTATCATTTTGAGTACATGTGGGCTGACTGGCTCTCCTTTCTTGAGCTTGCTCTCATGGATCTGCCTGTGGGTTTCAAACCTTTCAGTTCGGGCCTTCTCTTAAAACATATTCTACAATTTAGAAATGATCTCAATAGCTGTCTCCTTCTCAAAGATAGTCTTTTGAAGCTCTGGAGACATAGTGGCCAACATGATGCATTTGACATCTCGATTAGCACTTTACCATCAATTTAGGGCAGCCTGAGTCACCTCCTCATTGGGAGCCTCGGGCATTTCCTCATCAAGGACATATTCCTTTTGCTCTTGCATGAGAACAATTAGCAAGTTCCTTTGCCAATCAAGAAAATTTGGCCCACTCAACTTCTCTTTGTTGAGAATTGAGCGTAACGAGAATTAGTTGTTTGAGTTATTTGAAGACATGATTCTACAATTGAAGGAATTTAAAATGAAAAACCATTCATGAAATTTAAATAAGATTGAATTCTTGCATTTTTAATCAAACTTATCAAACGTCTTATTCACACATTTAAACAAATTAAACACATTTAGGGCTTGAATTTTCTTGACTTTTCTCTCTTCTCTCTCTTCTCCAATGGCGATTTTCTGAGCTGGTTCCTTTGCTTAGCTGGATCATCAATGGAAAAGAAGAAGAAGCAATTCACTCCATGCCCTAATAATGCATTAAAAACACAAAAACAATCTATGCAAGTGTCGAATGATAGATCATTAGGTGTTGTGACTTCATTTGGTCCTATCCCAGAATGTGGTGATGAAGATCTAGTTACACCGCCGCCTCATTTGGTTCACAAATCTGCTGGGATGATATCAAAGGAAGATTTCCGATTGCTTGAGATCCATCATCAATCGGTAATGGCGAGTCAACAGAAGAAATCGACTGAATCAGTCACTAGGGTCTCCCTGGTTATTGTTCCATTGAATCCTGTTGCTGATTCAAGCCCGATTACTGTTCCGGTGGATCCTGCTCGTTCTATGAGCTCAATTATGACTGAGAATCAAGGTAATCAAGTAATGGCTAGTCAACAGAAGAAATCGACTGAATCAGTTACTAGGGTCTCCCTGGTTACTGTTCCATTGAATCCTGTTGCTGATTCAAGCCCGATTACGGTTCTGGTGAATTCTTCTCATTCTACGAGCTCGATTCCGACTGAGAATCAAGGTAATCAACCATCTGAAGTTCCTGAAGCCATGCGTGCAGGAGTTGAAGGGAAATGGGATGGGAAGCTTACTGCTAAAGGAGCTCCCCTGTCTTTTGTTGCTCCAAAGGTTTAAGAGGGTAAAAGAATTGCTCAATTGCAGGAATTTGAACTGAATGCAGGTAACTTGAGATGGAAAAATGCTATTGTGTTCTATGTTGTTGGGTATTACCCTACTATTGCTTCTGTTCATAGATATTTTGCTGAGAACTGGAGTAGTATAGGGAGACCTGAAATATATTGGCATGATGATGGTTACTTTGTTATTAATCTGAAGTCTGAGGATGATTAAAATATGATTTTATGCTCTGGACGTCATATGTTTTATGGTAAGCCAGCTATAGTTAAAGCTTGGAGTTCCAAGTTTGATTTTCAGGCTGAAGTTTTGAGGACTGTTCCCCTATGGGTTAAGTTCCCCAATCTTCCCTTAAACTATTGGGGAGTGGACACTCTTAGTAGAATAGGTAGTCTGTTGGGAGTGTCTAACTGTGCAGATGAATGTACTACTAGACTGATGAGGGTTTCTTTTGCTAGGGTTTTAATTGAGGTTGATATAACCAAAGAATTGCCTAGTTCTGTTCTACTTGAAAGCCCTAATGGTGAGATAATTGAATTAAAGGCTATTTTTGAGTGGAAGCCGCCTTTCTGTAAGAAGTGTAATAAGGCAGGACATGATTGTGCTGCTGTTAAAAGTGGCAAGCAAACTCACACTCAGAAATAAAAACCAGCAAATAAGCCTCTAGCTCAAGAAAAGGTGTGGGTGCCTAAGTAGAAGTAGACTGTTCCTGCTGCAGGCCCACCTGACTCTGAGCAGGTTCAAGCTACTCCAGCTGCTGCTCTTGGAAATGTTAATCATGATGATGGCTGGAGAGTAGTAGGAAGGAAGAACAAAAGCATCCACAATGTAAGAAATTCACAGCCAATTGCACAATCTAGTGCTTTTTTGGCTCTCAATGTTGAAGATGGTGGGTTTTTTCATCAACACTGGCGGGGGTAAGTCAATACCCCCTCCTGTTCTATGATCATCTGCTCCTGGAATGTCAGGGGTTTGAATGACCCTGGCAGGGTAGTTAATGTTAAAAGGCTACTTAGAAATCATTCAATTGAGGTCATTGGCTTGCTTGAGACTAAGGTAAAGCAGGGAAAATTCAAGACTCTCCAGAAGAAGTTTAGGTTATCTTGGTCTTGGGTTGATAACTATTCCTACTCTCAGAAAGGTAGAATTTGGGTTAGGTGGAATTCAGATGTTATTAATCTTGATGTTCTAACAGTTCATGAACAGTTTATTCACTGTGCAGTTAGTCATAGAGATTCTACAGCTCCAATACTTTGCACTTTTGTGTATGGTCTCCACTCTATTCATGATAGGAAAGCTCTATGGACTGGGATTCAGACTCTTGGTTTGCAGCAGGATCCTTGGATTTGTGTTGGGGACTTCAATTCTGTTCTGTGTTCTGCTGATAGAATCAATGGCAATCCTGTTTCAGATTATGAGGTGAGAGATTTTCAAGGTTTTGTAGATATTATGGAGTTTTGTGAGGTTAAAAGCAAAGGTCCTTTTTATTCTTGGTCTGACAAGGCTCATGAGGGGCCTAAGAACTGTACTAGAATTGATAGGGGTTTGGTCAACCAGAGCTGGTTGGATATTTATGGGCATGTTGAGGCCTTTTTTCTTAATCCTGCTCTTTCTGACCATAGCCCTGTCTTGATTGAGCTTTGTTCTGCTCCCTCTTCCCAAGGAAGGCCTTTCAGATTCTTGAACTGTATAGCAAAGCATGATCAGTTTTAGAATACTGTTAGGGATGCTTGGGTAATGCTGTGACTGGTAATGCAATGCTGAGAGTGTGGAATAAACTTAAAAATGTTAAAAGCAAAATTAAGGATCTGCATTTGAAGCATTTTGCTAAAACAGCTGAAAGGCTTGAAGCTGCTCTTGTTGATTTGGATAGTATTCAGAGTGATATTGCTGTAAATACTGATAATCTTGAGCTTCAACGGAAAGAGACTGAAGCCATTGCTCAAGTTAAGTACTGGACTGGAATCCAGGAAAGTATTTATAAGCAGAAATCTAGAGTGGATTGGGTGAAACTGGGTGATGCTAATAACCATTACTTCTTTTCTATGATGAAGCAAAGACACTCTAGGAATAGACTTGACTCAATCTATAATGAGCATGATATGCTTATTAGAGATCCAAGTCAAGTGGTTGCTGAAGTGTGCAATTTTTATAAGAAGCTTCTTGGTGATAATGTTGACTGGTTGCCTGCTGTTGATTTGGTGACTATGAGAAAAGGGAAGCAGTTAAGCTTTGCTTCTCAACAACTTTTGATTGCTCCTATCAATCATGCTGAGATTGACAAAGCTTTAAAAGGTATTGATGACTCAAAAGCTCCTGGGATAGATGGTTTTAATGCTTACTTTTTTAAGCAAGTCTGGAATGATGTTAAATAAGATGTTTATGCTGGGGTGCAGGAATTCTTTGATACTGGGATTATGCAGAGGCATTGGAACTGTACTACCATTACTTTGGTTCCTAAAGTTCCAAATCCCTCTTATGTGAAAGAGTTCAGGCCTATAGCTTGCTGTACTGTGTTGTATAAGTTAATTTCTAAGGTGATAACAGCAAGACTAGCTCAGGTCATTGGGGAGGTTGTTGATGATGCTCAGGCAGGGTTTATTCCTGGGAAGCATATTGGGGATAATATCTTGCTTGCTACTGAGTTAATTAAAGGTTATTCACATAGATTCATCACCCCACGGTGCATTCTTAAAAAAGATTTGAAAAAGGCCTATGACTCCCTTGAATGGAGCTTCTTAAGGGCTGTTATGGAAGAGATGAGTTTCCCTAAGAAGTTTATTGATTGGGTTATGGGGTGTATTACTTCTGTTTCCTTCTCAATTCTCTTAAATGGGTTTCCTAGTGTTCCTTTTGATGCAAGGAAAGGGTTAAGGCAAGGAGACCCTATGTCTCCCTTTCTTTTTGCTATTGGGATGGAGTATCTCACAAGGTGCTTAAATGATTTGAAGTCTACTCTTGACTTTAATTATCATCCCAGATGTGAGAAAATTAGTATCACTCACCTTATGTTTGCAGATGATTTACTGATGTTTGCTAGAGCTGATTTGGTCTCTGTCTAGTTGCTTTTTCAAGCTTTTCAGAAGTTTTCTAAGGCTTCTGGTTTGTCTGCTAATTTGGATAAGAGTGAGGTGTTCTTTGGAGGTGTTAGTGAACATGAGCAACAGATTTTAAGAGATGCTCTAGGTATGTCCTAGGGCACTCTTCCTTTTAGGTATTTTGGGGTACCTTTGTCTTCAAAGAAGCTTACTATAAACCAATGTAGGCCCTTGGTTGAAAAATTTACTGCTAGAATCACAAGCTGGGCAACTAGGCATCTTTCTTATGCTGGAAGGATCCAATTGGTTAAAGGGGTGCTTTTTGGGATCCAAACATATTGGGCTCAAATTTTTATCCTTCCAAAGAAAATCCTTAAAGAACTTGAGGCTAGGTTTAGGGCTTTTCTTTGTACTGGAACAACTAATTTCTCAATGAGAGCTCTGGTGGCTTAGGATACAGTCTGTTTGCCTAAAGTAAGTGGGGGGTGGAATGTCCTTTCTCTTCCAATTTGGAACAAAGCAGTTGTGACTAAGTTACTCTGGGACTTGTCTCACAAAGCTGATAATTTGTGGGTGAAATGGGTTCATATCTACTACTTCAAAGGAAAGGATTGCTGGGATTTCCCTGTTCCTAAGAAGTGCTCTTGGGTGCTTAGGAAAATCCTGCAATGTAGAGAGGTTGTAGATAGTGTAGGGGGATGGGGTAACTTTGTTCAAGGTACTGTGATGAAGATTAGGAAGCTATATGCCTTTCTTAGACCCCAAAGTCAGAAAGTTGATTGGAGAAGACTGATTTGCAATAATAGAGCTACTCCTAAGAGTGTCTTCATTTTGTGGCTTGTTCTTTGGAACAGGTTGGTGACAAAGGATAGGTTATTAACTTGGAATATCCAATGTGATCCTATCTGTTTGCTTTGCTAACAGAAAGCTGAAACAGTTCAGCACTTGTTCTTTTGTCTTCATTTTGTGGCTTGTTCTTTGGAACAGGTTGGTGACAAAGGATAGGTTATTAACTTGGAATATCCAATGTGATCCTATCTGTTTGCTTTGCTAACAGAAAGCTGAAACAGTTCAGCACTTGTTCTTTTGTCTTCATTTTGTGGCTTGTTCTTTGGAACAGGTTGGTGACAAAGGATAGGTTATTAACTTGGAATATCCAATGTGATCCTATCTGTTTGCTTTGCTAACAGAAAGCTGAAACAGTTCAGCACTTGTTCTTTGAATGTTCCTATGCTCATAGAGTGTGGAAAGCTGTCTTAAAGATTCTGCATTATAATAGGCAAATTCTGCACTTTGCTGATGAAATCAAGTGGTTGATGAAGAATTGTAGAGCTAAGAAAGGGTTGCTGATTATGGCTTTTGCTGAGACAGTTTACAGCATCTGGATTCAAAGAAACTCTGTTGTTTTTAATGGAGTCTATAAACCTGCTGAAATTGCTGTCCGAGATATTGTCTTTTAATATGGCTTGTAGGTGTTCTGAGTCAGACTGTGGTTTACTTGTTAGCTAGTGTCTGTTTGCTGTTGGTTTGTTGTATAGCCTGTTTGTTCAGTCCTGCTATTGGTTTAGCTGAATTTGGAAAGGGCTCTTGTTTTGTTGCTGTCTTGTCCTCAGCTCTCTTTCTTCCTTTTTCTGTTTGGGGGCAGGCTCTGGTCTTGCTTCTAAGGTGAACCCTTCCTAGAAGGTGGCACCTTAGTTGCAGGACCTGTTTTGGAGTTTGGTGCCTGTTTCAGGCTTTGTAGGTTGGGGTTTGCAACTTAGCTTTTTGTAAGTTGCTTTCTTGTGCTTTTTGGTAATAAAATTTTATTTACCAAAAAAAAAAAAAAGTTATCCCCAATTTGGTGAGAATAAGTCGATTCCAAGATCCGAAGAAACAAAGAGTGGTTAAGCATGCTTTGACTTGTCTTAACACTCAATCTCCTAAGGTAAGCAACGATTTGGTAATGGCTCCAAGCCACTCTTGGTTGAATAAATCGTCGCATCTAATACTCTCTCAACAATTTATTCACTTTGCCACGACATGTTAGGACTCCATCACTCATATCGTTGAGTACAACCAAAACCAACTTGCATACCCAGTATGCCTTACGCTCCTAGGAGAGGTAGTGATGCCTTGCTTTGGCGTAGCCCACCACTACCCTCGTTCGGTTGGTAAGTGTTGTTTTGGAATGGCAAGTTTCTACTCAATATTCAGGGACCTAGGGTTTCTATGTTGGTTGATTTAAGTGAACTTAATTAATCATCACAACATTCGAAATCCTAAACATGCATCTAACATATAATTCATATACATAAACATATATATATGCACCTAAGCTAGGTCGAAGATGAAGGTAAGAGAGAATATTAACAACTGACAAAACAAGTAACCAAGGAAATAAAACACTAGGAACGGGGATCAACAAGTAATCATGTCAATTGCAACAACTTGGAGCATGCCAATCAAAGGTTGTGAGGACTAATGATAAGAGCAATCAATAGGAATCAAAGAGTTATCTCCTAATTGTTAAGCTAGGGTTCACTATGAATAACAAACTAAGAGAATCACAATCAAAACCAATCGATAATTGCAATTCCTAAATCAATTGTTCATGTCATTAGCAATTACAATGCAATCTAGAATAATTCTCAAGGCCTAATTGAATTAAACACATGCAAACATTCATTAATCACTTTAATCTCAACAATCAATCAACACAATTCCCAAATTAATCACAATTAATCAATCATACAAGTTTCACCCAATTCCTAGCCAAACTACTATTCAAGAATCATCATCTATCAACTAACAACTATGAAAATCAAGAATCAACAAAATATCAAGAACAATTACACTAATAAAGCATCAAACCTCAAAATTAAACCAAACAAACATGAAATTAAACAAAGCATTAAGGTGAGATAGAGTTAAGAATGCTCATTGATAATAAAGAAGATCTCGAACACAATTGTCACCCTTGTATCTTCAATCTCTCAATAACCATTGAAATCCTTCACTTTCTCTCTCTAAAACTACTCATAATCTAGCCTAATCTAGAGAGAGAAGCTCTCAACCTAAGAGAGAAAACTATTCTAAGACCAAGAATTATGTGAATGAATGATAATAAAACCCCCCCAAAAACAATCTATAAACAAAAGGAGAAAAGAAGCTTAAAATCATAAAAGACCCAGAAGTCCGCGCCCTCGGAGAAATCGGCCGCGCCCGCGGACACCTTGGAAGCCGCGCCCGTGGCCAAAGCCCACGCCCGCGGGGAGCCCGCGGAGAGTTACTGCCCCAAAATGGGAGAAATGGGTTACGACAGATTTGCAGGGCCAACTTTGGAAGGCTTTAACTCACGATCTAGGATCTGTATGAAGGCGTGCGACCTATAATTGGAAAGCTCTTCAAGTTTAGTTTCCAACCCAACTTGAATCACCTCAATCCAATCTATAGAACTCGAGATATGGCCGAAACAATGCACAAAGGTTCTTTTTGATACTTTGTAAGCCTTCATTTTCCTTTGTTTCTTGGATTGGCTTGACTTGCGTGCTTGGCTTCCCTAACTTGGCTCCGTTAAATTCCTTGAATGCACTTGAGCTCCCTCCTTGATGATTAAATCCCGGGAAGCTCGACACACCTACAAAACAAGTCAAACAAACGGAGAAGCGAGGGAAAAAGCCGAGAAATGAATAAAAT